AAACCTGGCTGTCTGGACACGTGGACGACCGCGACGTAACCGTGCTTGGCTACCAACTGTTCAGAAAAATACAGGGAAGGGCGTCAAGGCGGTGGCGTAGTGACACACCTGAAAAATGGACTCAACGTTTAAGACGAAACGAATAAACTGCCAGGTGCATCAAGCCTCGATGTCCTGACACTCTACCAACCAAAGAAAAGAGATCCCGTAGTTGATGCTTCGTAGCTAGAGGAGCTTGAAAAGATTTCTAAACGGTCGGATATCCTTATCGTGGAGTGTTTAACGCGTTTCATATCGACTGGAGCTCGGCCTGCGCACATAGCTCCGATCTGGCCTTCGAACATGACTCTAAAGTTATTTCTCACACAGTAAGTCACGTTCCTAACAAGGGTGCGCAACGGCCAACAGGCCAATTGCCCGGCCCTTTTTCTCATGAAATCGCAGGACAGCATCGAAAAAGTGTCATGTCTACTTCTGCTAGGTAAAAGTGACCACGTTGTACTGTTATGGGAGTACTCGTTATTTTCAATACCCGAGAGACCCACAACAGTCAGAAAAAATATTTGGCGAGGCGATTTCGATCAAATGGTGGTCGAGCTCACGCACGCTGAGTGGGAACCTCTGTTTTTCGGAAACAACCGCGGACTGGGAAATCTTCCGGTATATACTGCACAGGCTCATCGAAAAACTTTGTCCAATTTTGCAAAAAAGGTGACCAACAAACCGCGATGGCTTACGCAGACCTTTAAAATAGAAGTGAACAAAAAGCGGAAGCTGTGGAAAAAATCGCTTACGGACAGGACTCTTGCATCTCTAAGTGCGTAGAAAACTCAGAGAAATCGGGTCAATGGTCTTATTCTCAGAACAAGACGGGATTTTGAAGCAGACCTGATGAACCGTGCCAGAGTGGACCCCAAAACTGTTTTACAGTTTCCTCAAGCAGAGTACCAAAACAAGGATCTGGTAACTCTTGTAGAAGATTAAGCAAAAGCTGATCATCTTTCGGAATTTTTCCGGTAATTTTTCACAAAGGAAACGGCATACGATTACCCTTCCGACGACACCTACGTGGATACGATAGTCGAGACTGTTCAATTTACCGATTATCTTGTTCTTAAGGAATTCTTAGGATTAAAGGTAGCTAAGTCACCGGATCCCCATGAAATACCGGCCAAGATTTCGAAAGGGCTCGCCAGTGAGTTAGTATACCACTGTCTACGCTCTTCCAAACCTCCTTCGAGAACGGTTGCCTACCAGCCAATTGGAAATCCGCAAGGATTACGCCGCTCTACAAGGGTGGAAGCATTAGATGATCAATTTTTAGAGGACGCCTCGATTCGCCGTATTTTTCGTCAAGTCACTTGCGTAGGACGTCGCGTGCAGTCTGGCGTCGTTTATGAAGTGCCATGTCGCGACTGCCATTGCCATTATACAGGGCAGACCAGGCAACGAATTAGCTCGCGAATAACGGAGCACAAACGGGCAGTGCGGAAACGCGACTCACTGTCCCAGATCGATACTCACACTCTGCAAGAAGGTCGTGAATTCGACTTCACGGGAACGCGGATAATGGCACACACCACTGATAAGACGGGGCAAGAACTACTGGAGATCTAGGTGTCAGACTCCAACTCCATCAACAGGCATGTGGATATACCTCCCTGTTATTTTGCTCTCCTTGCGAACGACCAAGAAGCACGGTCCAGTTCGTGTCCAGGCATGCACGCTGTCACGCCAAGGATGCAAGACACAGTACCAAGGACGCGCACAGAGGCGATACAATAAAAGGGCGTGAGCACGTACCAATCACGAATACCACCCCCTCC